TCGTGCACTGGCCAATTATTTTTTTCTGATTTTGACGAATTCAAAAATAATTTCGAAAATTTTTCCCCACTAAAATAAACAAGATTCTGTAGGTAAACTAAAAACACCGGCAATTCTCCTCTAAAAATCTACTGTTGCTACTCTCCTAATTATTTGCAAAAAAAATCCACCGAAGAGCAAAAAGTATGCACTGCCTTCTTATGCCTCGAACACAGCCTTTTTCGTAAAATATACGGACCGGAAAGGAATCGAACTTTTTACCCCCACTAACTGCGAACTTATTTAATTGTGAGATGCTAACCATCACACTACTGTACTTTGTGCTCCGCATTTAGCAGTAAAAATATATGAATAAACTAACTGTACATCATAATGCACATCATACTTCCTGACCATCTTAACAAGCATTACGCAATTTCTTAATTTTTGCCGGCTTTTCACAGATATCCCTAACAAATTACCTGCACAACATTGGTTCGATCGAGGCAATCCACACAATTCGTACGAATTACACCATGCTGTTCGCGCACCATTTCACCCGATTTGTCAACCCAACAAAATCCGGTCATTGTAATCTGCTCCGATAATGCTGAAATTAAATCGGCAACCTGAAAAAAAAAGGAATTATTTTCGCATGTTTTTTCTCGCAAATACTAAATGTCTGATCAATACGAAAGGTTTCAGATCATTGTAAAAGGTCAATTTTCAGCAAGCCAGGAGGCTATGCAATAACAGAAATTCAATAAGCAAAATTTTTCTTTTTGTAAATATGAAATCAAAATAAAGGAGTAAAAATTCAACTTGTCCCCCCTCCCCTTCCTTCTCCCTCTGTTGCTAGAATTGACTCTGTACCAACAGTAGAAATACTAGAAAGTAATTCAAGTGAGGGCTCGGTTTAACAGCAATCATCCGCTTGAAAAAAAGTTGCCGATAGCTTTACCCCTTCCGAAGGTTGTTAGCATTTATGATCCCCTAATATGTGCCCATAACAATTTAATATCAAAATAACAAAAAAATCGCAGAAGGACTAGTTCCATCCACTAAATGTTAGACTTCAACGTGAAAGTAAGATTATTTTTTGCTCCTCCAGAAGCACCAAAATAAGAGAAATGACTGCAATTACCTTATGAAATCGAAGTCCACGGCAGCGAAAATGAAAATCGAATGTGAAATAGGCGACATCCACCGAATTTAGCTGAAGAATGTGTTGTAAAAAGCTTACGGCAAGTTGCGCTTCCCTGCAATCACATTTCAAAATTTGTCGTCAAAAAAATCAAGCTACAGCAAAAACAATAAGACTGCAAATGTTAAGACAAAAATGACCAAATTCCAAACGTATTCGTTCCGGGCCATCTATTAAACTCGCACTATCCTTTCTTATTATCTACTGACTTGTACACTGCGTTTTTTAACAGCTAAACCTGTGCCTTGTAAGAGCTCATAACGGGCGTAGTACTTTATCAGTAAAGGCAACGTTCGAGATGAGGTGGTGCTGCTCAACACAGTCACCCAGTACCGGTTCAGCCCTTACTTTTTCTAATTCCTTCTGCCCACAGGGCCCAAACGGCCCGTGGGGTCTTTTACATACAACAAGGACATCTTCAAGCAGCTAACTCAGGCAGGCCAATAATCCCCTCAGAAACCGAAACAGGCAGATCACCAGAATCATCGCTAATTTAATTTTTGTGTAGATGTTAGTTTATGGCCATTGTGATTTGGATTCGATGGGATTTTCGAACTTCGGATCCAGTTTTGTTAACACTCGATCGAAAAAAACGAGTTACTAGGAGTTACCCACCCGTCCTTTCCTCCCTCCTTCCTTTTCCCCTTACGTCAC